GTGTGTGTGTGTGTGTGTGTGTGTGTTTGTGTGAGAGAGAGAGAAAGAGGAGATGTGATTTGCTAGAAGTCAACGGGGAGGGGAGTGGTAGAATGGTGGGCTTATTTTCCAGGTCTCCATCTATTTCAACATGGAAGCTTCTCCTTGACTTTGAGGAATGACTGGGAAGGGACAAGGGGCTGGCAGGAAGAGAAGGCCAGGCAGGAGGGTAGGCTGACCCTCTGCCCTTGAGCCCTCCATGGGGTCGGGGGTCTCAACACACCTCCTTGGGCCTGCCCACCTCCCACGGGGGCAGCGACAGGTAGTCCTGCTGCTTCATTGCTTTGAAGAGCTGAATGGCTGGCACCTGGGGCATGACTGGGCCTGGGGGCTTCTTGGCCTGGGACACCTGGTCCAGGCCCCCCATCTCAGGAGAAGGGTCTGGGGAAGAGGGCTTGCTCCGGGGCGAGAGCAGGCCAGGCCCGAATCCAGGGAGGAAGCAGTAATCACCCACCTGCTGCAGGACAAGGAGCCCCTCGGGGTGGGGGGACCCAGGGGCCTCATGTGCCCGGGGCTCCCCTGGGCTCAGGACAGGGCTGCCGAGTTCAGCAGAAGCAGGGCTGCAGAGAGGGGACTTGGGAGGCTGGCCTGTGGTTGGAGGGAGCTCCACATAGTCCTCAAACCCTGGCTGCAGGGGGGCTGGGGCTCCAGGGGGTCCACTGGCCAGTCCAGGACAGGGGCTGGGGTTCTGGTGAGAGGGGTGACCCAGAGGGGGAGTCAGGGAGCCAGACAGGGCCTCTGGGGCTGAGGTGAACACCAAGTCTGCAGAGGTGACATAGCCAGAGGCCACAACACTGTCCTGGGGGCCCCCAGCACCAGTGTGCAGAGCAGATGGGCTGTCCTTTGGATCCTGTGTACCCGTCATGGGCCCAGGCGGAGGAGGGGCAGGGCCTTCCCCTGAACCCAGGGAGAAGCTCCCCTCAGCCCCAGGGCTGGGCACCCCATCCACATCCATGGCCCGCCTCTGCCCCATGGCCTGGGACAGTGGGACCAGCTGCACCTGTCCCCCAGCGGGCAGACACAGGTACTCCAGGGACCCTGGTGGCAGTGGCTTCCTGCTCCTGCCCACATCGAGGGATGTCAGCTGGCCCCAGATGTCAGGCAGGGAGTGGCTCTGGGGTGACCTGAGGTAGGGGCCATTGAAGTCGAAACTGGAAGCCTCGCTTTCAGTCCTGCTTGAGGGGCCAGGAGGCTGCTCCATGGGCTCCAAGGTGGCCGGAGTCATGTCAGGCTCAGACGGCGAGTCACAGGCGTCTTTAGGGTTCTCTGTGGTGAGCGGTGACACCTCGCTGTCCCCACAGTGTGCAGGGAACACCCTGCCAGGAGAAAAGCGGCAAAGATGCTGGGACCACCCTGGGCAGCTGCCTCAGGCAAAGGGGGAGGTGACTCTGGACAGCCAGACACCACCTGGGGCTCAAAGTAAGCATCAGGGAAGGGCCAGGTGGAGGGTCAGGGAAGGAAAACAGACTCTTGATTCAGTCTCCCTGTAGATGACTTGCTCTGGCTTTGTGTGGCCTTGATCTTCCCCTCTGCTCCATGACACCCTACTACCTTCAGATTCAGGCTGATGCCAGCCTGTGCACCACCCAGTCATTTTCTCTGTCCTTCATTCCATTAGCCATACAACCAACTTTCCTAAGTGAGGGCAGTGGGGAGCTGGCCACACAAGTCTTAAGGCCCTAGGGGTGTGGAGCCCCTCACCCACTCCATGGGGCCTGGAAGCCTTTGCTGTGGAGCCTCCCCAGGCAGCAGGGCGGGGAGGCAGCTTCTGCTCCAATGTTCTGCCTCTGGTCAAGTCCGTTGTCTGGTCCTCTGCTAACATGGGTCTCAGGAAGTTCCTCCTGATGTCTGACTGGAGCACCTCTTGCTTTAGAGCAAACCAGCCTCCTTCTGATCACTTCACGATGAACCAAGGCAGTGGCCACCTCATCAGAGCCTCTAATGTGCATGATGAGGTCCTCTCCCTCCCCACTGCACCCCAGAGGACAGGAGCTACACCAGGGCTCAGACACTCACCCCTCCAGCTCTGGGACATGGCTGTCCCATGGCCCCTTGTA